TTTAGAATATTTCAACTGATATGTTAATCTCATGGCCTAGAAGACATAATTGTAGGTTTGTATTGCTTTATAGGTTGATGCCATCTAAATCAAGCATAAGGACCATAAGACACAGAAATCATGCGTCTATGCGTAACTCTGAAGCAAATATCATGAGAAGTTAGAAATATCCGAAATTAAACACAAAAGCTGATAAATCTCTCCAACCCAAAGTTCCATAATGTTAGGACTTTCCAAACAAATGCTACATAGACAACAATCTCTTAAAGACCCATTGCTTAGTACTTACACGCACCATTGCTTGGGTTGTTCCCTACGACCATACCGGTTCCACTGAAATTACACGACCCGTCACTGCGTCCGTTTTTCTGGAAATAAGCGTTCATTACAAACGACGCGTGCGTCCTCAAACTGCTCGGGTTAAAGCACGAACCACCGGCTTGGATCGGTTTACAATCAACGCCTCCTTGACTACACACCCAGTCGATATTACCTTGTAGCTGCGCATCCGTGGCTCCCGACCTCGCCACGCACCATTTACCACCACCAGTACTAGGAGCAGGCAATGCTGGACGGCCTCCACCACCGCCTTGTCCGTTTCGGAGGAGACCAACATCGTAAACCGGGGAGAAATCCGATCGGAAAAGTCCCCAGTTTCGCTCTGCGGTCGGACCGGGCTTGCCTTCTTCGTTGAATAGACCGAAAATGTAAGTCTCAAAACGTCTGTTAGGCATGAGAGGTGTTCCTTGGCCTTGTGAACGTTTGATAATGTTGAGGTTGAACCAAGCCGCGTTTTCTAGAGAGCACCAAGGCGCATCGCAAGCAGATGGCCAGCCCGTCTCACCAACGACGATGCTAACATCGCCGTATCCGAGAGCTTTCATGGCGGAATAAGTCGAGTCCATGAGAGCATCATACATGTTTGTGTAGACTTTGCGGGTGAAGGGGTCATGGACCGCCTTGTATGGCGAGCGGAAAATAGCGAAATTGACGTTTTTCGGGTCGAAACCGAAGTAAGGGTACGGATTAATCATGAAAGGAGACTTGGTCCGGCGATGGTAAGCTAGGATTGGAGCCAATATGCCTTTGTCCCAGCCAGGTCTGAATCGACCAGTGCTTGGTGCACCGGTAAGGTCATAGGCTATGATGTTAAGCGAGTGTGCGGTTGTGACCTGAAACCAATTGCAACAAATAGTATATTAGAATCAATCATCACTAAATCAGTCTCTAACGATTTACATATGATAATCATGTTGATCATATGAGAATAATGTATTTATTTATGATGTAGTAATAAATAAAACTTAAAGCATGGCAGTCACATGACGACTTATTTCCCCTTTAGTCAAAATTAACATTCCGAATCTTAAGACAACCTTGGACGGTGAGTTCATAGCACGTGCTATTGTCTAAATGGTTTAGATCTTGAATAATCATCATCGCTATAATTTTAAAAATTCTGCTTTTTGTAAAATTTTGGATTTAAATTTAGATAACAAATACTTCAAATCTAAAATTTTCAAAATAATCAGCTTTTGTTTTTTCCACGTTGTTCCAACTTTTGATGCGCAATCAATGGAGTGCTTCGGTT